GAGATCTGCGTGCGGATTGGTCACGTCTGGAATGGTAGAACGACAAACGGGAGATAGTTGCTCGTTCGCCTTTCCCAGATCCGGGATTCCGGTCAGTCGGATGAGATGGTGGTGGCCTCCTCCCCCGTTGGACGAGATTTAGATCGGATTCATAGCTCTCATTCCGAAATCATCAATCTTGTGCTGCTGAGATTTTGTAGAAGATGATCAGCATCCTCCGCTTCGACTGGAATCATCAAAACCCAGATTTGGAGTTACCAGTCCAAATTCCAGCATCACAGATCAAGTTTTTCCCCTTGTGCCATCGTATTTCACTGTTTTCTGGATAATTTGAGGGAGGATCTCACTTGATTGTGTTCAATCTCTCAATGAAAGCACCGTTGATGGATTATAGGTATCCAAGTATATGTAATTAGGAGAGATTTGAGCTTAATAATGTGGAGAAGATGGGTGAATAGTAGAGTGTGAATGAGTAATTATGTTCTAGGGTTACAAATGGCTCCAAGAGGAGTATAAATAGGGAAATAATGGGTCGGGCCACTAATATGGGCCCGGTAGCCCAACTACATAAAAGACTAATCTAGTACATAGTTACATACAAATGATATATAAGCAGTACAATAATACAAATGATATCCGTAAGATGTGTGTGGGCCGCTGTCCGGGCCCAATAGTCGTGAGACCCGGGGGTCCGAGTCTATATACTCTATCAATATATATACTCCGTAACATTCAACAATAATTATTATAGGTGTTATAGGAGATGGCTTCCATCTAACCATAGGTGGCGGTTTGAGACTCAAGCTTTTAATGGAGAGCAAGAGCTACGGGTCGCACCTGCACCTATTTCTGGGCATTCAGCTTTACAACAACTAGACGGGCTTGAGTTTCTCACTGATAATGTCAATAATGGTCCATGGAAAAAGAAAAGCATTTTCTTTATGTTGCCTTATTGGAAACATTTATTGTTACGTCATAATCTTGATGTCATGCACATAGAAAAAAAATGTGTGCGAGAATATTTTTGGAACTTTGTTAGGTCAGAGTAAAAAGTCTAAAGACAATTACAAAGCAAGATTGGACTTACAAAAAATGGGTATAAAAAAAGAACTTCACCCGAAAAAGCGTCCAGTGAGCAATATAACGTACTTGCCTCGAGCATGCTACCAAATGACGCGATCAGAAAAGGAGACTTTCTTGAAAACCCTTATGTTTATCAAACCACCTGATGAATTTTCTTCCAACATCTCTCGTTGTGTGCAATTGAAGGACAAAAAACTTTTAGGGCTAAGAAGTTATGATTGTCACATGTTGATGCAAGAATATCTACCTATTGCCCTAAGAGGGACATTGCCAGACAATGTTTCATCAGTTATCATTGAACTGTGTGATTTTTTTAAGGCAATTTGTTGTAAGGACTTGTCTGAACATGACTTCCAGTATCTTGAAATGAAGGTTACACTAACCTTATGCAAAATGGAGAAAATATTTCCACCTTCTTTCTTTACTATTATGGTGCACTTGGTGGTTCATTTGGTTGAAGAATTGAGGATGGGAGGTCCAGTAACTTTTAGGTGGATGTATTCTGTTGAAAGGTAAGTGATTTTAAAACCAGTTTCATTTATCTTAAATATTAACTATATTGGTTCTTAGATAAACTGACATATTAAGATCTTATTAATAATTTTCAGGGAACTTCTCACACTGAAGTCATATGTTCATAATAGGGCTTATCCAGAAGGTTCAATCGCTGAAGGTTATTTAGCAATGGAAAGTTTAACATTTGTCTCTCGCTATCTCTCCGGTGTTGAGACATTGTTTAGTAGGCCTGTGAGAAATGATGATGAGGGTGAGCAAAACGAAATTGAAGAGTTTAACTCACTTTGTCCTGGGCGCCCATTAAGAAAAAGCAGAGATCATAGTGTATCTTTTCGGAAGAGAAAGAGGGTATCTCGTCGTGTGCTTGACGAGAAGTTGCTAATACAAGCACATCGTTATGTCTTATTTAATGTCGAGTCAGTCCTGCCATTTAGAGAGTAAGTGAAACATTTTTCTTTATACAATTCTTTTTCTTGGTGTTTAACTCTTTCCTGACATGCTTATCAATAATACTGTTTTATTTAAGGGAACATAAATCAATTGTTAAGAATAGAAACCGTTCACGTCGACGACCCGAATATGAGATTCAAAGACTTCATTGCCAAGAATTTAATGAATGGTTCCAAAAAGGGTAATTTTTATTATATTATGTTATTGTGTGATACATTATTTTAGTCATATATTCTATGTTATGACATTATGTATTGTTGATGTAGGTATCTCGTTTGGTAGAAGAAGGTGATGCAAGAGTGAATGAGGAAATTAAATGGCTTGCTCTTGGGCCCCACACCTCTGTAAAGACATATTCTGGTTATTTTGTTAAAGGGTATCGGTTCCATACAATGGATCATGAGAAATTCTTGAAAACACAAAACAGTGGCATTGTTGTAACGGTAAAGGGTGAATGTTATGCTAGCTCCCGTGATAGACAACCAATTCTTGGTATGATAAACTATTATGGTTCACTGAAAGACATAATTGAGTTGAACTATTCTGGTAAACTACGAGTAGTTTTGTTCAGATGTGATTGGGTTGATGTGAATAGAGGTGTGAAGCGAGATGATATTGGTGCAACGCTTGTTAACTTTTCGTATTTGACACACACAGGAACAAATTTGCTTGATGACCCCTTTGTTCTAGCCTCTCAAGTTGAGAAAGTCTTCTATGCTAGAGATTGCAAGTCTAAGGATTGGTTGGTTGTTAGGCATGTCAAAGTTAGGGATATGTTTCACATGGGAAATAGTGTTGATCATAGTTTACATACGTCAAATGATGCAATATTTGATGTACCAAACTTGCACAGAGTTGGAGTTGATGATGATAATGGAGTTGATGTCACTCCAATGATGGAACAAGAAGTTATGCATGGCGAAGATGATGAAGATGATGAATCTAGCATTGTTGTTACTTAAATAGATATAGTTCTTATTAATTAAGTTTGTGTTGTTATGTACTAGATGTTTACTGAGAGTGCTTTAACAACTATCTAATTCATAATATTTTCTCCTACTAAAACAATCATTTCACATATTGTGTGTTTGTTATACCCATATATTTTTTGCAGATTTGCAATTGAATAACCCTTTGGCACAAAGTGGGTTTATTACAGCTTTATATTATACTTGTAATATCTTATGTTTTGCAGGTTTGGATTGAAGAAGCTTTATCCATTCCTTACATTGAGGTTTGTTTAACACATAACTTTTTTATTGGTTCTTTGAATGTTTTAAAACTAATTTTAGTATTCTGTTGAAGTAACAATGACAAAGTGCAAGAGGTTGAACATTGTCTCAACCAATAACTCCTCAACAATGCAACAAGATATTGAAGCAGAATCTTCAGATCCTCAACCATCTATTTCAGCCAATACAAGCAGTTCACAAGCATCAGGTGATTAGTATATTTTAATTTATTTGAAGTAGAATATGCTATTAACATGCGATTTGGTGTTTATGGCCTATAACAGGCGTTTCAAAAAAGGTTCGAGGTCCTACGAAAAAGCTTAGCATTTGGGAGCTAAAAAGTGACACCAGGATAGCAGTTACTTTTAATGAGATGGTGCAGCCAATAGGAGAAGAAGGAAAAGAATTGACACAATTCTTAGGCACCCTTGTAAAAATGCCAAGTCATGTTGGAATAAATTTTGATGATTGGAGAGATGTTGCGCATACAACTAAGGAAAAATTATGATCCAGCCCTAACTATTGATGAAATGGTACAAAATGAGAAAAATATGAGGGTAAATAAATCTCAATTCACAGAACTTGTTAAGACTTGGATGAATCCAGAGTTTCAGGTGATTTATTGTTGGCTTCCTTATATTGTTGATATGATGGAATAAAAAGCTTATTAATTACTTTTATCTATTGTTTTGATGACATTTTTATTTTTATTTGTTTTATTTGAATCTATAAGGCAATGTCTGAATTAAAGAAAGGGAGTCGGTCAAAGAATCAAGAGCCACACACTACTGGCTCAAAGTTCTTTGCTAGACTTGCTGAAGAAGAGGTAATTGCAACTAACTTTTTAAAGTAATTTGAGGTGTTTAATTATCGATTTTCTCAAATATGTAATTACATCCTTCAAACTCATATTTTTATTGTTTGAAGAAGCAGTGCTATATTTAGGTACACTAAGGGTCATTTATATTTAAATTTAATCGTTGCAGGCTATAAAAAATAATGGTGTCCTCCCAACACGCGGGAAATTATTTATTAAAAGTCGAACTCGAAAAGATGGCACTATTGTCAATTCTACAGCAACTAGAGTTGTGGTACTATACTTTAATCATTTAATTCCTCATTTTCCTTGGGTGGACTGTTTGTTTATATCTATTTTTTAACAGTTTAAACTTTGTTTAAATTTTGCATATATTATGTCTTGATAAAACCAGTAGAACTTGACATGCTAAATATGTGTTGAAATTAAGGTATTTAGATGAAAATGACTAGGTCCATCAATGCATCAAATATTGATTACTTTTTGAGTTGGAGAGGACCACAAGAACAAACACTTCAACATGGGGTAATCTATGCACCACTTGGGTGACTGTAATCCATACATTAAATCATCCCTAAAACTTGTTATGTCATTTTTTTACTCAGTTGCCTAGAACATCATATTGACTATGAAGTTTAAGGTCCTTTTCTAGGGGCAAAAGAAACTTATGTAGAAGAAATAAATAATTTATACGAATTACACAATTCTTATGTTACATGAAATATAGTTTTCTTTCGATGTGATTGTCAGTAAATGAACTAGAATCCTTTTATTTCGGATTTGAACAATTTAATGCCTCAATTGTATTAGCACTCACACCATGTTTCAAAAACATGATTATTAATTATTATATGAATCTTAAATTAGCTACTCTCTTCAGGAAGCTCTTCATCATGTGATGAATGAGGCTGTGGACACTCAAGATTCTGAGGACACTACTGATTGGAGAAATGATGACTTAGCCAAGGTTAAGGGACCTGAAAAAAGAGGGCGCATTCGTTGTGTAGGATTTACAATCGTAAAGGATAAACAAACTTCATCCTCTCAACAATCGCAAATTCCTATTCAAGACCCACAAGTGCCTATCCTTCAAGCGCAAGTTTCTTCACTTTCAAGAAAGGTTGATATTCTGCTGGGTGCTTTCAAACATAACATGACTTCTGGCCAATTTAGCGCAATTCTCAACAGCTTGAGTAATGAGGTAATATTTGCCATTACAGAATTAAATTTATAAAATTAGACTACAATTTGTGCTCATTTTTGATGGATTATGCTTGAATCGGACATCATGGCTATATTTTATTTCTTCTTGTACAGTTATGTGTGTGATATGAAGAGATTAGTTTTCTGCGTGACACATTTCAACTCTTGTTAAATCACATTAACTGGTAGTTTAATTTGATCAAATTATACTTTCTTTTTTGTCATTGTTTTTGCGAAGAAGCTGGAAAAAACTTCATTTTGGCTCTCTAATCAATTTCTAGTGTATTTTCTTGGCTAGTAGCTTGAAATATGCAGCCCTGAGTTTTTAATTATCTATACCATTTACCTCTAAACTAGTTATATATGCAATTATTAGTACAAACTTATGATACTACTCCTCGTTAGTAGCTTGTAATATGCAGCCCTGATTATTGGAGTATTTATTTGTACCAGAGTTTTGTTTTTTTAATTTCTACTCCTGATTAAACTATGTTATTTTTCAGGTTGTTAATGGACCAACACCTACTAATGAGCCATCATCAACTGGAAGTCATCATACTTAAGAAGTTATTTGGAGATCAAGCTTATACACATATAGTTGTTTTTATGGGCAATTTCAATTTGCATCATTGTGAACTTTAAGTTTTTTTTTTTGGACTTCTATGGTGTAAGTTTGAGTATGAAAGGAGTGTCTAGTTTCTGGAAATAACTTTAGTTCTATGGTACACGTAAGTTCTAACGTTTCTTGGTTTGAATTGTAAACTTTACTCCATTGAAGTTTTTCAATTATTTTAAAGTCGTGTGCAAATTTCTCTATGAAAGTAATATTTAGTATCCCACATTTTTATTACTAATATAAGCATGCTATAGAAAAGTTAATTAAAATAAAATTATTATGGCTTCAAATAAATCAACATGGTTTTTCTTGACGGTTATGTGTTATCTTTAATCTTTCATGACACATAAAATTTGTTTGGTAATTAAGCAATTCCATGACACATTATGTGTTGGCGAAAGTTTAAAGAGATTTGCCAACACATGCCTACGAGTGTCAAGAAAGATTTTTCCTTACACCATTCCTAGTGACACTTTGTATGTGTGTTGGAAAAGCCTATAGGCATCTATCTTGACACTTTTATTATTTTTCTTGACATTTTGTGTGTGTCAAGAAAGGTCACTTTCCTTGTAGTGTAAATGAGATACAATTCAGATATAATTCAAATTCGATCCATTACTGTTACGTATCAACAGAGCTATATACTTACAAAGACATGATAATTGAGATATAATAATAATAATACTCCGTAGTAAAATATGTATAAATCGGCCGGCCAAACAAATCAATCGGCCCCAATAACAATAATACACAATATAGCATTAATATTGGCATAGTACAATAATGAGATACTGCGCATCAAACACATGGCTATCATATGGATCCACATGCACATGTCAAAGTTGAGTTGATCGGATGATGCCAAATATTCATAGCTAGCATTCAACTTAACTTTCCTATAAGGATATACACAGAGGACTACATACGCCAATGTATACACATAATATATATATATATACCCACTTACCTGCGCATATTATACATATCACACGGATATGTGTATATAATGACTCTACATCAAGGAGAAAGTTTAAAGACCACAAACTTGGTCTCTAGAATTAGGAGAGAGTTCGGATGTAGTCGTTAAAAGGAAAAGAATGGCGTCGGAGGGCTGTGGCTTCGCCGCCGGAATTGGTCGAACTACCGGGGTGACGGATCCTGTTGACCGAACCGCAATGCATAGCCGGAAGGGTCAACGAATCACCTGGGGTTTGGTTCACCGCTGCCGGAAGTGAACTGACTCCGCCAGACTTTGGAGAAGATTACAACGACGTCGGAGGAAAGGCAGGATTCGCCGGATAACTACAATTTGAGATCAGATATTATGACTACTTTTGGAAATATGACAAGTCCTTGTTTATATAAAGATTAATTTTTGAACAACTAGTGATTCTAAAGATTTAATTATATGATTACTAATTCAAAAGATTTGATATGAAATTATATGTATTTGAGACTAGTAATATATATACAAGAGTTTATATTTTTAAGATTAATATTTCCATCTCATAGACACTTGGGAAATTATGATGAATATATAAATACATTTTAAACCACTACATTTAAATATATAATTTTAACTAGTATTGAATCTATAAAATTATAGATGATTTTGAGAGGTCTTGGTAAATGTATAATACTTATTAGCTAAGTGATATTGAGGATATGGTTACAAATACCTAAATTTTCTAAAATGTATATATAGTTTGCCTCTTCGATAATTGAAGAAATTTCAATAAAATTATACATGTATGTGAGACTACTATCTTTTTGAAAATTATTATTTTAAATATATGATTAGGGTACAAATGTAAGTTAAACTTATTTTGAGCTGGTAAGTTTACCAAAATTTACTATTTTACATCATTAACAATTTTGAGATGTTTTAATAAAAATATTTATTTATAAAATTCCATACTTGAATAATATTACGAGCATTTGACTATCAAAATTATTATTGAGCTACAAATGATTTTAAGAGATTTTGGTACAATATATAAAATAAACATCTTTCTACATGAGTATAACTAGTACTTATTTTTATAGTAATGTATGTTTCGATGCCAACCAAAAATGTTTTACCGCATGCTTATATGTATGCAATATTTTAACTATTGGGATTATTTACGACTTGGAAATTTTATGATTGACATGGATTGAATATTTTGAATATATGGATATTGGTGGATTACGATCTATTATGGATGATTACATGTATATTCTTTTTATTAAAGAATATTGGTGGATTGATATTTATTACAAAGGATATTTGTAGAAAATGTGACGAGAATGATTTTGGGGAAAACTTAAAGTTTTCATAATATATTCTTACGTCTCGAGAGAAACACGAGGCGTGGGTGGTTAGGGCTACTACTACTTTTGATGAAATTTATTTGGGTCGGTAACCAGTCCGGCAATGACATGCTCCGGTAGACATCCTGGGCTTTTATTTGAGGATCAAAAAGATCCTTTGTTGGTCGTAGTAGTAGTTACCTAATTTATCTCTGGACAATGTCCCTTGTGAGTAGGTGGTAGAAAACATCCTGCCTACTTGGATTTCTTACTACTCGGAGGGCTTGGAATCCCTTTTAGAGGGTGTGCACACTTAAGGTAGAAATTCAGCTTCCAAATGGTGGTCGGTGGGAGCCGGAATTCCGGGATGAGTCGTAGATAACAACGACTCATTGGACTCGAGGAATCTTGATTTCGCCCACTCTTAAAAGAAATCTAAAGTATTACTTTTGGTGGAATCGAGATTGGAAATACTTATTGTAGGGATTATTTGAGACCTTAAACCATTTTGGAAATATGGGAGGATATTTTCCTATAAATATTTTGATCACCATTGAGACAATTAAGAACAATTATTCTTTATAATACTCAAAGAATTGTTAAAGAAACCTTACTATTTGGAGAACGATACTTATTTCCAAAAAGTACAAACACTTTTGGGATATTTGTTTTGGAAAATATATGGTTGGCATTAATTTGGGAAAATATTGTTGGATATGGATTTTTGAATGATTATATTTTGGTAAAGCTTGTACTCCATTTGGATTAGATTTGAACATTTTATTTACGAATATGAGACGTGTGATGGAATTTCAAAAGTTATTTTGGAGGCTAATTATTTTGGGAAGTAATACTTTACTCCTACTATGTGAACTATTCAAAGTTTACAAACATTATTTTGAGCTACGAATGCTATTCTTAAATTATTACTTCGTATTGAGTATGTTGGAAAGTATACATTGTTGAGAAAATATTTTAGAGAATTATGAGATATTAAGACATTATTTTACATGCATATCTGTGATATGTTTTGAGATGGAATGACTTTTACGAACCCTAGATTTGTGTGTATATTTATTTATGTATTTATGAGATCAAATATTTTACTTGTATTTGAGGAATTGTAAAGTATTTTGAGAAAGTTACGACATGCCCTAAAGAAATAGGGTTCTGAAATGTATTTTGACAAATTATATATATATATATCAAACCTGATTATTTTACGGGGTTGAGTGGGCCCTTACTTAGCATTTCAAGCTAATTTTTGTTTTCTTTGTGTTTTCTTTCTGTACTTGATTTTGTACAGGTGGAGTCTTGGTGATGTTGATTTCGAGAGCTTCCGCTAGAACACATATAATAAAGTGGATAGAGTAATTCATATTAGCTTTATTTTAAAAATTTATAGTTGAATAATTAATTATGGGAAATTTATTTCATTTAGATTTATGAAATTGTATTGGTGGTGGATAGCCTGTGCATTCGGTTATGTGAGAACCGAGTGTGGCGATAATGCCTCTGTTTCCTTTTGATTTTTTTCCGCTGCACAACTCTCATGTTTTCAAATAAATCATTATTTAAAGGTATTTTTGGATGGGAAATTTCGGGGTGTTACATACTCGCCCCGTCGATGATGTGGTCCCAGGAGACGTGGACACTGGTCATGAAGTGGGTGTCCATCTAGCCCATGGTATCGTACTATAATGGGCTGCCTAATGTGAATGTACTCCCACGATCAAATATGTAATAAAACAAAAACAAAAACAACCTCCGTGCTCCCACTTTGGCAACCTCGACAAAGCTGCCTATAAAGATACGCTAGAATGGCACTACCCCAACTGAAGTATGCAGCCACATCAAATCTCTCTAGCATCGGCAAGGGCAGCACCTGAACCTCATTTCCACTCTTGTCAGCAAAAATGGAAGCTCCCATCATCATCAAAATGTATGCCTGTGCATGCTGCTGAATCATCACCTCATCTGCCTCCGGAGGAAGAACAACGAATTGCTCCCTCAGTCATGACATTTTTAGAGATGACACGTGAATGTCTGTCCGGAGAAGGGGGCGGACACACAACAATCACTCCACATCCTCAACCCAAGGTCGACAGTATCACCATCATCTTCATGTGGCGGGGCAATTGCGGTCACAGTATAGTGGCTAGACGGGGCAGTTGCGGTCACCTGTTCCACTCCTCCACGCATCATCAAACCGGAATGGGAGATCATATAATCTAGTATAGTGGCTAGACAGGGGAGTTGCGGTCACAGTATCACCATTATCTTCATCCGATTCTGTCATTGCATCATCATTGATGTGTTCATCAGCGTCATCATCAGTTTCATGGCCATCCAAAAAGGATGCACCATTGTGCAAATACCGCCCATCCTCCTCCACGAACATGTCCAGAACATCATCATTTGAGGACGCCGCTGCATTAACATCATGCCCAGATACAACAACATTCGATGTTGATGGAGTTATAGAAGCGTCACTTATGGAATCTATAATGTATATCTTCATTGTGAACATAGTCATCATCTCAACTATCGTCCACAATCCCGTGACAACTTCCTCATCATCAAGTGACATAAGCATATATGATCCCCCGTGAAGGGGATATTTCAACTGCACTTGCAAAGAACGGCTCGGAGGAATATGGTGTAGCTGCATATATTTTTTGCAACATCTCTAGCATACATGCGCCACGAGAAACAACTACAATCTGTCTCCTACCACCTTCATAGCGTATTCCCCCTCCTTCCTCAAATAATTTCCCTCTCCAATGAACATTATTGGGAAGTTGGAGAAATCCATATTCTAATAACAATACATGACAAAAATTGATGAGTACACATTAATATACACACTTTATAAACCCAAATTCATCATTTCATAGACATAACAACATATTAAAAAACTCTCATATACAAGCAAATCCTATATGATAAAATTACACTTAACAAAAGAAAAATATTACATTTTCAAAAAAAAAAATATTACATTAAAATTCACATTACACAACAAATCCACAACAAAATCAAAATATTACAATAAATTCAACATTAAAATTAGACATTTCATACATATCCACATTACACAACAAATCAATTCACAAATCAATTCCTAATTTACAAATTCGAAATGTATAGATTCTAAGCCCTAACATGAAAAATAAGATGAAATGGAGTTTTCATTTACCTAGAGTGTTGAAGAAGATGGAGGTGAGGTATTCTTGGCAAGGTGGAGGGGTCTCACCGACGAAGCAGTCGCCGTAGATGGAGAGGGAAGTCGAACAATGCCTTTACTGCGGAGGTTTTTTGGGGGAAGGGAAGTCACGTTCTGTCTGGCAGCCTCGACTCGTCTGTCTGTTTAAAGGGAAAGTCGCCAAACGATTTGGCGACTTATAAGTTTCCATCCTGATTGGCGACTTATAAGGCGTCAAACTGTTTGGCGACTTATAGGTCATCAAACCGTTTGACGACTTTCCTAACCAGGGTTTAATCCAGAACTAGATCCGTAAATAGTTTTAACCCGACATTATTTTGGTTAACACTTACTACCTCTGTCCTATTAGAAGGTTCTCGTCCACTATTCACATGGTCAACTTAAATCATTTTTAATCTTTTACTTTATAAATCAAAATTTTATCAAATCTACATTTTTTTTCCAGGCTTTGTAGCGGTTTTAATGTAATTTCTGAATATGTTAATTTTATTTACTAAAAATAATCAGAGTGTGAACATAGATTAAGTTGCTTTATCGTCAGTCAAACATCGTAAACCGTCAACGTGAACCTTCTAGCGGGACGGAGGGAGTATTTAATTCGCATTAATTCAGAAAAAAACTATGAGGCTTCCTTTTAAATTTCAAAGAACGCAATTTTAAATCATAGCTGCTTATGTTATGACTATTTATCTGTGTATATTTTATATGCTTATGTTTTGTTTTTGAAATTTAAATGATTTATGTAATTGTTATGTAGAGATTGTTTGTCCGTATTATAAGAAATCTTTGTGTTTTATATTTACACAAAATATTTTCTGTGCATCGCACGAGTGAAATACTAGTGAAAAAAAATGTAAGAAATTTTGCAAACCACCAATTAGTTGTTTTGTACAATAAATGATTATTTGGGAATCAACTTTTCTCCGATTCTTGCCAAAGACAAAAAAAATTGTCATTGCAAAAAAAAGGATGACACCCCATCCCTAAGGATCCCCCAACCTCGACCGGACGGTACGTTGGGAGGATGTAAATTGGACTATAATCTCAATCTGACAGATAGAGAGTAGGGCTCTGTCCCCGGTACTTGCTGAGGCCCTATGCATTTTTAGCATAGTAACCCCTCATCAGGGCCGACCCTGAGGGTGTGTAGGGTGTCCAACCGCACAGGGCCCAAAAAATTAGAAGAGCCCAATTTTTTTTGTAGTAATATACTACTTTGAAGAGATATTAATATAGTTTCTGAATATATAAATTTTAATTATTAAAAATGGAATTAATTATCAATAGGGAGCATTGACTTTTTTTATTAGTTGACCAAAAAATATTGACTTTGCAAAACAATTTGGGAGCGAGGCATGCGGGATTCGAACCCAGGTGAAAATAAAATAAATCATGCACGCTGATCTCTAAACATCAACCCACTGGACCGAATCAACTAATTGTTGAAATAAGGACGTACAAGCTTTATATTACCTATTTGTTCTACAAAATAAATAGTTAAAAATATCTCTTAATAAAAATCGGTTCGGTTTGAACTGATTTTATAACTCAAAAAACATTCATTGAACCGATTTATGTTCGAGCCCCGACTTTCAGGTCCCGTTTGAGTCGGTGCGGTTTCGGTTCGGTTTTTTAACTTGTCTTGAAACTTTGAAAAGAAGACTCAATTATTTTTGTTACACAGGGCTTTCATTTCCTCAGGATCGGCCCTGCCCCTCATCACAGTTATCGAGATTCGAACCCAGGACCTAATTCTTGTGGCACTCTCTTACTACGAGTTGAGGTAGGCCCATGGGTACAATAAATTTTGTCATTGCAATCTCTAACTTGTGACACCAGTTGACCATTTCTTCACATTGATTTGAAAAGGTGTGGGCACTCCTCTTGGCCCTTATTTTGACCTAAACCTCATAAACCCCCGTCATCTCCGTCCCTTCTCCATCTCTAGTGCTGACGTGTTTCAAATTTAGAGATTGAATTGAAAGCTTTCGACAGTTGAGGGAAAACAGTATGGCGAGCTCCCAGTTCCCAGACGATTTCCGGTGCCCGATTTCACTTGAGATCATGACAGACCCGGTTATTCTCTCATCGGGTCACACGTTTGACCGCCCCTCCATTCAACGGTGGCTAGACGCCGGTCACCGGTCGTGCCCGATCACCAATTTACCCATTTCCGACCCTCCCTCCCTCATACCCAATCACGCTCTCCGCAGCCTCATTTCTAAGTTTACCCATGTCTCCTTGCCCGTACCGGAGACCATTCCCGATCCGCAGGCCCTAATCCAGATCCTGATATCCAAATCCACTCCGTTGGGATCCAAGCTCAGCTCGATCGACCAGTTGACCAAGCTCTGCAAGCGTGACTCGGCGATTCGCCGCCGGCTGACCGAGTCCGGCGTGGTCTCTGCTGTATTGAACTGCGTGGATGCAGACGGAGACTCCGGACTGCAGGAGAGGGCCCTCCACTTGCTTCTCAACCTGAGCCTGGACGATGACTGTAAAGTCGGATTGGTCGCGGAAGGCGTGGTCGGGAAAGTCGTCGCGGCACTCCGCGGCGGTTCAGGTGACTCCCGGGCGGTCGCGGCTACCGTTTTGACGAGCCTGACGGTTGTGGAGGTCAACAAGGCGACGATCGGAGCATACCCTGATGCAATTGAAAGCCTCGTTTGGCTTCTATGGTACGGAAGTTCGAGGGAGAAGAAAGAGGCGGCAACTGCTCTATACTCACTCTGTTCATTCCCAGATAATCGTCTCCGGTCAGTTGAAAGTCAGGCCGTCCCTATTCTCATACAGAATTCCAGCTCGGGCCTTGAACGGGCCGTTGAGGTCTTAGGGTTATTAGCAAAATGCAAAGAGGGCAGACAAGAAATAATGAAATATGGGTGTTTCTTAGATACATTGTTGGATTTCGTAAGAAATGGATCATCCAGAGGCGTCCAATACGCCCTTTTGACTATGACAATGTTATGCACTTTCAGTGAACGTATGTGCACAGAGGCCATTAGAAAGGGGGCTTTTGAGGCATGTTTTGAACTGTTGGAGGATGAGAATGAGAAGGTGAGAAAGAATGCCAATACTCTGATTCAGGTTTTGCAAGGGAAAATGGGAATGTTTAGTAGAAATGGAAGGTATTGACAGTGCCATTTCACGATGATCCCTGATAGAGGAGGTAAGCTCGTTTTTTTGCCCCTTTTGTACAAAAAGATGGGAATTTGGGGGAGAAATCTTGTTCTTCTGTTGTATACTATGTATTTATTTACCAATAAAAGTTTATATGTGAAGGCCTACTGCTTTCCCTGTCTATCTGCTGTGTTTAGTGAAGATTCAATTCAAAGTCAATCCTCCATTAGTCTTTTTCAATTCCACTGATGTCAGTGTTCATAATGGTTAGACTTCCTACGTTTGAGGAATTGAAGTGAGAAGGAAGGAAGTTACACTGTACACTGTAGAGTGGAAAAAACAAGAAGATGATGAAGCATGGTAAGGGATTCAGTGATTTAGGGCCTGTTGCATAAATGTTAGTTGTTGTTTGGCGAAAATGGACGAAACTGTTAAATAGTTTGAAATTAAAATCGTTCTTTAACATCCATTCTAGTTCTAGCCTAACAGGAATGTCTAAATTTAACGTCTACTATCACGTTGATAAGCAAAAGAAGCGAATTTGTATGGTTAACCTTAATGCTCATTTCATTTACTCTACAAAAGATGCAGTCTTTACTCGCTCAAGCGGCTCAACTTAGTCATTATTCCTTGTAACTGGACATGTTGGGCGTTAATGTTGTCTTTCTCACTTTCATTGTAATTTGCAATTTATGGAGAACACTGCTTGTTTTGGCTATTGGCAAACAAATAGCGTATAGGCCAAAGTGTTTCTTGTTTTCATTCTATTATTCCTTATTATTGTTACAAGATTCATTCAGCATTCTTTCTAACCATTTTGTCCTGATTTTGAAGTTCACGTGACTCGACTTTATCAATCCTCCAAATTAATTATCAAGCAAGTTGTGGAAATAGCAGTAGAGAATATGGATGGATCCGGCGTTGGCGTCGTGCCTTGCTTAAGCAGGGTGCACGGTTTTTATCAGCCTTCCGATAAAAAAATCAACGGTAGTAGATCTTCGTGTCCACTTTTTTCAGTGATCTCAATGCCTCTCCTTTTCCATCCAACCCTCCATTAACCCTAACCCGGCATTGATCTTGAACTAACGGTGATAGATCATACGTAGTACTACCTCTGTTCCACCAACATTGGAACATGTCGAGGTGGTGCAGTTATTAATAAAGTGAGTTTATGTGGTTGATATTAAATTGACAAAGTAAAAATAAAACAAGAATGAATTAGAGTCACACAAACTTTACCACATTTGATACTATCTCCGTCCCTTAAAACTTTGCCAACTTTCCTTTTTTGGATGTCCCAATAACTTTGCCACTTTTCCATTTAAGTAAAGAATTTGTGGTTCCAGTTAATTCTCTCTCCTCTGCACAAACCTCAACAACAGAGTTTTTACTTTATTAATCCTTGTTCCGGTCAAATTTGGCAAAGTTTTAAGGGACATAGGGAGTATGAGACAATCTTAATGGGATGAACGGAAAATGAAAGATAGGACAATCTTAGTGGGACGAGGAGTATTAGTTATACATATTTAATACTTCGTATACACATAGTACTACTAGTAGATTCATGTTTTCGACGTCATTCCACTCGATGTGTGATGGATAGTGTACCCCCGGGGTAGCTTATCTGAGGGGTTATTCGAGGAACAATCTAGAGACAAGTCAGAGAAAGTAAGAGAGAGTCAAATGTATTAAATGAAGTCAGCGTGCTTTACAAGGAGAATTAGATGTATTAAATGTATGAAATGCGATGAGAGTACACGTGTCAAAAATCTAACCGCTGAGGGGTCACCTCAATCGGGGTGGCACCAGCATTCGCATGTGCACCGCATTAAATGCGGTGAGTGGATGTGATGCCGCATTAAATGCGGCGGTTGCTTGTCTCTAAAGGGAATCTTCGATGATTGTGTTGTAGCCGAAGGCTCCCCTGTGGCCAAGGGCTCTATGTAGCCGAAGGCTACCCTCGTACCGAGGGCGCCATTGAGTAGGGATGGACCCGGGCAAGTCCGGTTCCGGTTCCGGGCCGGGCCCGAGCAGGCTTTTTTTCCAGATTGTTGGGCCCGGAACCGGCCCGAGTTGATACCGGGTCCGGGCCTAACCGGGTCAGGCCCAGGTCTATGTAATATATATATATATATATATATATATATATATATATATGATGGAGTATTAACTCCTAGAGAGAAGGGAGAGCTAGAGAGATAAAGTGATATATATAATGAATTTCCAACCCTTTACATGACTCCCTTAGGGAGTATTTATAGGAGAAAAGCGGGCTGGGCTTCCAGGCTTGGGCCTGGAAGGCCCATTTACAATAAAAGGCCAATAAATGGCTAAAAAATGGTATTTAATCTATTCTAACGGGTATACATGAATAAAATGGAGTGTACAACGAAATAAATGCTATCTACTGAGCGTATGTGGGCCGCTGTCCGGGTCCAATAGTCGTGAGACCCAGGGGTCCGAGTCTATATACTCTATCAGGAGTCCCCCACTCTCTGAGTCGAGAGTATTCGAGGCGAAAGAGAGTAGAACTGTGTGCTGATCTGTCGTCGTCTGGTGAGTAAACTTCGTAATCAAAAATTTGAATTTCTGCTTCTTTGGTTAACGGGGGCGCTAAGTCCCCCGCTCTTCCAGTCCCCCACTCCTTGAGGCGAGTGTAATGAGGTGAAGAGGAGTAGAGTAATGCGTGTCGGATGATGTCTTCAACAGGGGGCCGAGGGTTGACACTTTTTGATCCACGATGGGGAGATGCCTCGTTAAAAACCTCATTAGGAAAAACCCTGTGGGAAAAAATCCTAATGAGGGAAAAAGAGTACACCAGATGCCCCCAAAATGAAACAAAAGGTGCGAGCCCTTCGGCCTGGAGATGGAGCTGCAGCGGTGCCCGTCTGCTGGATGGTCGAGGCCGATCTCCAGATGTGGGTAGCTCATCATGATCAGTAGTCCTAGTCATCAAATAAAGATGACTAAGGGATGGGTCGAGCGAACGTCCACAATATGATGCCTGGTTCATCAAATAAAGATGACCAGAACGTAAGGCCGATGGGCCGAGAGGCCTATACGAGAGCTCCATGTCGTCAAATAAAGACGATTGGGCGATGTGTGCGGCCGAGGGGCCTGCATAAGAGCTCCACGTCGTCAAATAAAGACGACGGGGCGATGGTGCGGCCGAGGGGCCTGCATAAGAGCTCCACGTCGTCAAATAAAGACGACGGGGCGATGGTGCGGCCGAGGGGCCTGCATAAGAGCTCCACGTCGTCAAATAAAGACGACGGGGCGATGGTGCGGCCGAGGGGCCTGCATAAGAGCTCCACGTCGTCAAATAAAGACGACGGGGCGATGGTGCGGCCGAGGGGCCTGCATAAGAGCTCCACGTCGTCAAATAAAGACGACGGGGCGATGGTGCGGCCGAGGGGCCTGCATAAGAGATCCACGTCGTCAAATAAAGACGACGGGGCGATGGTGCGGCCGAGGAGCCTGCATAAGAGCTCCACGTCGTCAAATAAAGACGACGGGGCGATGGTGCGGCCGAGGGGCCTGCATAAGAGCTCCACGTCGTCAAATAAAGACGACGGGGCGATGGTGTGGCCGAGGGGCCTGCATAAGAGCTCCACGTCGTCAAATAAAGACGACGGGGCGATGGATGGCTCAGAGGCCTATATGCGAGCGCCATGTCATCAAATAAAGATGACGGAGCGAGATATGGCCGATGGGCCTGTAAATGAGCTTCGCGTCATTAAATAAAGATGACGAGGCGATATATGCCCGATGGTCCTGTAGACGAGCTCTTCGTCATTAAATAAAGATGACAGAGCGATATATGGCCGATGGGCCTACAAATGAGCTCTTCATCATCAAATAAAGATGACAGAGCGATATATGGCCGATGGGCCTACAAATGAGCTCTTCATCATCAAATAAAGATGACAGAGCGATATATGGCCGATTGGCCTGCAAATGAGCTTCGCGTCATCAAATAAAGATGATGGAGCGATATATGGCTGAACTCTGGGCTCCTTTAGCCTTTCGGCCGGAGACCGCAAGATGTTCGCTATATCTGAATAGGGGGACGAGGCGGTGGACGCCTGTCTGAATATGAGGACGACGACGCTGATGAGTCGGTCCGAATATGAGGACGACAACGCTGATGAACCGGTCCGAATATGGGGACGATGCGATGATAAGCCATGCGTCATATGAAGGCGACGGTCACCATCCAGGAAGGGAATGGCGAACCTGGTCGCTAGATAAGGACTTCGGCGCTGGGGCCGGTCTAAATGTGAGGACGAGGCGATGATGAGCCGTGCGTCATATAGGGGCGACGGTCGCCGTCCGGGAAGGGATGACGAGCCCAATCGCTATAACAAGACTTCGGCGCTGGGAGCCGGTCTTGAGAGAAATAATCACGTCGCGGCCGAGAGGCTGATCGCGATGTGTGGATGATGAGGAGCCAGTCCGAAATATGATGACGAGGCGATGATGGAGCCGATCATCATATAGAGGCGATAGTCACCATCCAGGAGGGGATGGCGAGCCTGATCGCTAGCCCAACACACTCGGCGCTGATGAAGCCGGTGTTGGGATAGGGTGTGACGTCGTGGCTGAGGGGCCGATCGTGATGCGAGGTCGTCAGCACTATGAGGCTGATCCAAAAGTCCAAGCAGCGGTCGCCATCCGATGAAGGAATGACTGAGACCGGTCTTGGGGATAGATAATCACGCCGAGGCCGAGGGGCCGATCGTGATGTGCGGATGGAGATGATGAGCTGATCCGATAATATGATGACGAGGCAAGAATGAAACCAATCGTCATATAAGGGCGATGGTCACCATCCAGGAAGGGATGGCGAGCCCGATCGCTAGCTCAAGACTCTCGGCGCTGAGGAAGCCGGTCTTGAGATAGATAGTCACGCTGAGGCCGAGGGGCCGGTCGTGATGCGCGGATGGCGATGAAAAGAGCCAATCCGAAATATGATGACGGGGCAATGATGAGCCGCCGTCATATAGAGGCGATGGTCACCATCCAGGAAGGGATGGTGAGCCCAGTCGCTAGCTCAAGATCGCGTTGAGACCGAGGGGTCTGCCGCGATGTGAGCATGACGGTGATGATGAGTCGTTCCAATAAATGATGACGAAGCCATGACGGGCCAATCGTCATGTAAAGGCGACGGTCACCATCCATGAAGGGATGGTGAGCCCGATCGCCAGCTCAAGACTCTCGGCGCTGAGGAAGCCGGTCTTGAGATAAATAATCACGCAGAGGCCGAGGGGCCGGGCATGATGTGAGGACGACGGCGATGAGGGGCCGGTCCAAAAATCCATGCAACGGTCGTCATCCGGTAAAGGAATGACTAAGACCGGTCTCGAGATAAATAATCACGTCGAGGCCGAGGGGGTCGATCGTGATATGAGGACGACGACGATGAGGAGTCGGTCCAAATAATGATGACGAGGCGATAGTGAAGCCGATCGTCATATAGAGGCGATGGTCACCATCCGGGAAGGGATGGCGAGCCCGATCGCTGGCTCAAGACTCGCGGCGCTGAGGAAGCCGGTCTTGAGATAGATGATCACGCCGAGGCCGAGGGGCCGGTCGTGATGTGAGGACAACGACGATGAGGAGTCGGTCCAAATAATGATGACGAGGCGATGGTGAAGCCGATCGTCATATAGAGGCGATGGTCACCATCCGGGAAGGGATGATGAGCCCGATCGCCAGCTCAAGACTCGCGGCGCTGAGGAAGCCGGTCTTGAGATATATGATCACGCCGAGCCCGAGGGGCCG